CCTCTCTGAATGGGCCAAGAAAGTAAAGATAATTGTGTCTCATGTGAATGCTCACTGAAGGGTTACCTCTGAAGAGGCAGATTTTAACAATCAAGTGGATAAGATGACACGCACTGTGGAGACTAGTCCTCCTCTTTCCTCCACCACTCCTGTCATTGCCCAATGGGCACAAGAACAAATGGACATGGTGGAAGGGATGGAGGGTATGTATGGGTGCAGCAAGATGGACTTCCACTCCCCAAGCCTGACTTGGCCACTGCCACTGCTGAGTGCCCCCATCTGCCAGCAGCAGAAGCCAACATTGAGTCCAAGATATGGGACTATTCCTCAGGGAGATCAACCAGCAACCTGGTTGCAGCTTGATTACCTGGGACCACTTCGGTCATGGAAGGGGCAGCGTTTTATTCTTACTGGAGTAGATGCTTACTCTAGATATGGATTTTTCCTTCCCAGCATGCAATGCTTCTCCCCAAACCACCATTCCTTGACTTACAGAATGGCTTATTCACAAGCATGGCATCCCACCTAGCATTACTTCAGATCAAAGAACTCACTTCACAGAAAATGAAGTGCGGCAATGGCAAATGCCCATAGAATCCACTGGTTCTATCATGTTCCTCAACATCCTGAAGCAGCTTGATAGAACAATGGAATGGTCTAAAGACACAATTATGGTGATAGCTAGGTGGCAACACTTTGTGGAACTGGGGCAATGTTCTCCAGGGGGTTGTATATGCCCTAAACCAGCAGCCAATATATGGTGCTGTGTCTTCAATAGCCAGAATCCGTGGGAACCAAGGGGTAGAAGCCAGAGTGGCACAACTATTACTCCTAGTGAACCACTTGCAACATTTTTGTTTCCTGTCCCAGCAACCCTGAGTGCTTCAGGCCTGGAGGTCCTAGTTCTGAAGGAAGGAACTCTCTCACCTGGAAACACATCACTGATTCCACTGAACTGGCAGCTGAGAATACCCCCTAGCCACTTTGGGCTCCTCGTGCCTCTGGATCAACAGGTCAAGAAGGGTGTCACTGCCCTGAGTGGTATGATTGATCCTCATTACCAAGGAAAAATTGGACTGGTACTACATAATGGAGGTAAAGAATAATATATCTAGAATCCAGGAGATCCCATACGCCATCTCTTAGTACCCTGTGATTAAAGTAAATGATAAATTATAGCAACCCAATCCTGACAGAACATCTAATAATGTAGACCCCTCAGGAATGAAGGTCTGAGTTACCTTATAGGGTAAAGAACCATGGCCAGCTGAGGTGCTGGCTGAGGGCAAAGGTAATACAGAAGAGATAGTAGTAGAAGGTAGTTCTTACATATCAGTTATGACCACGTGATCAATTGCAAAAGCAAGGTTTGTGATTGTATTTCTTCTTTATGGGTGCTTATTGAGTATCTTTCCTTTGTTCATGTACGATGTATCAGATACAGTTAGATTC